AAACAAAGACACAAAGACACAAAGTAAACAAAGACAAAGACACAAAGTAAACAAAGTCAACAAAGACAAAGAGGAGACGTCAACGGCGCTGTCGGGGCGGGCGCCGTTAGCCAGCATCATCATCAGCAGCAGCATCATCATCATCAGCAGCAGCATCATCATCGTCGCTGTGGGTGGGCAGGTCGCTGTGGGGTGGGTGGCGGTGGGTGGGTGGGTGGCTGTGGGTGGGTAGGTCGCTGTGGGTGGGTGGGTGGCGAGCTGTGGGTGGGTGGCGAGCTGTTGGAGGGTGCGGTGCGAACCGACGCGGCGTCGCGGTCCAGGGCCTGCAGGGCGACGAGTGCGTGCAGCAGCGCGTAGGCCAGCTGCGGGTTCTGCAGCAGCAGCGTGCGGCCCTCCTGCGGACACGTCACCACGCACGCCTGCACACGCACACACACACACACGCACACACGTCACCACACACGCCTGCACACGCACACACACACACACGTCACACACACGCACACACACACACGCACACACGTCACCACACACGCCTGCACACACACACACACGTCACACACACGCACACACACACGTCACACGTACACACACACGCACACACGCACACACGTCACACACATCACCACACACACACACGTCACACGTACACACACACACGTCACACACACACACGCACACACGCACACACGTCACACACGTCACCACACACACACACGTCACACGTCACCACACACGTCACCACACACGTCACCACACACGTCACCACACACACGCGCACACACACACACACGTCACCACACGCACACGTCACCACGCACGCCTGCACACGCACACACATGTCACCACACACGTACACACGTACACACGCACACACACACACGTCACCACACACGCCTGCACACACACACACACGTCACACACACGCACACACACACACACAGTACGTCACCACACACACACGTACACACGTCACCACGCACGCACACACACACGCCTGCACACGCACGCACACACACACACACACGTACACGCACACACGTGTCACCACGCACACACACGTCACACACATACACACACACACGTACACACGTCACCACACACACATACACACACACACGTCACCACACACGCCTGCACACGCACACACACACACACGTCACCACACACATCACCACACACACACGTCACACACACGCACACACACACACAGCACGTCACCACACACGCCTGCACACGCACACACACACACACACGTCACCACACACACACACACGTCACCACACACACACACGTCATCACACACACACACGTACGCACACGCACACACACACACGTCACCACACACGCACACACACACATACACACCACACACACGTACACACACACGTCACCACACACACACACGTACGCACACGCACACACACACACGTCACCACACACGCACACACACACATACACACCACACACACGTACACACACACACACGTCACCACACACACACACACGTCACCACACACACACACACGTCACCACACACACACACGTCACCACACACACACACACACACGTACGCACACGCACACACACACACGTCACCACACACGCACACACACACATACACACCACACACACGTACACACACACGTCACCACACACACACACGTCACCACACACACACACACACGTACACACACACGCACACACACACACGTCACCACACACGCCTGCACACAGACACACACACGTCACCACACACGCCTGCACACGCACACACACAGACACACACACACACGCACACACACACACACACAGCACGTCACCACACGCACACGTCACCACGCACGCCTGCACACGCACACACATGTCACCACACACGTACACACGTACACACGCACACACACACATGTCACCACGCACGCCTGCACACACACACATGTCACACGCACACACACACACGCACACACACACACGTCACCACACACGCCTGCACACACACACACACGTCACACACACGCACACACACACACACAGTACGTCACCACACACACACACGTACACACGTCACCACGCACGCACACACACACGCCTGCACACGCACACACACACACACACGCACACACACACGTACACGCACACACGTGTCACCACGCACACACACGTCACACACATACACACACACACGTACACACGTCACCACACACACATACACACACACACGTCACCACACACGCCTGCACACGCACACACACACACACGTCACCACACACATCACCACACACACACGTCACACACACGCACACACACACACAGCACGTCACCACACACGCCTGCACACGCACACACACACACACACACACGTCACCACACACACACACACGTCACCACACACACACACGTCACCACACACACACACACACACGTACGCACACGCACACACACACACGTCACCACACACGCACACACACACATACACACCACACACACGTACACACACACGTCACCACACACACACACGTCACCACACACACACACAGACGTACACACACACGCACACACACACACGTCACCACACACGCCTGCACACAGACACACACACGTCACCACACACGCCTGCACACGCACACACACAGACACACACACACACGCACACACACACACACACAGCACGTCACCACACGCACACGTCACCACGCACGCCTGCACACGCACACACATGTCACCACACACGTACACACGTACACACGCACACACACACATGTCACCACGCACGCCTGCACACACACACATGTCACACGCACACACACACACGCACACACACACGTCACCACACACGCCTGCACACAGACACACACGTCACACACACGCACACACACACACACAGTACGTCACCACACACACACACGTACACACGTCACCACGCACGCACACACACACGCCTGCACACGCACACACACACACACACGCACACACACACGTACACGCACACACGTGTCACCACGCACACACACGTCACACACATACACACACACACGTACACACGTCACCACACACACATACACACACACACGTCACCACACACGCCTGCACACGCACACACACACACACGTCACCACACACATCACCACACACACACGTCACACACACGCACACACACACACACAGCACGTCACCACACACGCCTGCACACGCACACACACACACACACACACGTCACCACACACACACACACGTCACCACACACACACACGTCACCACACACACACACACACACGTACGCACACGCACACACACACACGTCACCACACACGCACACACACACATACACACCACACACACGTACACACACACGTCACCACACACACACACGTCACCACACACACACACAGACGTACACACACACGCACACACACACACGTCACCACACACGCCTGCACACACACACACACACGTCACCACACACGCCTGCACACGCACACACACAGACACACACACACACGCACACACACACAGCACGTCACCACACACGCCTGCACACGCACACGGACACAGCACATGTACACACACGCACACACGTACAGCACGTCACCACACACGCCTGCACACGCACACACACACAGCACGTCACCACACACACACACACGCGCACACACACACACACACACGTCACCACACACGCCTGCACACGCAAACACACACACGCACACACACATGGACACAGCACGTGCAGCACCATGTACAGTGTAGGTGTACAGTGTGGTAGCGTACAGTCTAGCGGTGTAGTGTAGCGGCGTACAGTGTAGTGTAGTCGTGTACAGTGTAGTGGTGTACAGTGTGGTAGCATATAGTATTAGTGTATATAGTAGTAGTGTATGTAGTATAGTAATACTGGTAGGAACGAAGTGAACCAGCCTACAATAGATTATATCGTCCGTCCGTCCGTCCGATGTCCGATTAGGTGTAGCAACATCGCCCCCTACTGCAAACACTTGGCAGGACCGTACAAAAACCTTTAGACTCAGTGAGGCTTTCCTGGCTAAACAAGTGTAACATTCCCTTATAATTCCCTGAGATAGCTTTTAATTAAAACATTTAAATTAAAAATTAACTCACAGCGGCCTAAAGCCTACAGCTAGGCCTAAAGCCTAGAACTAGGCCTCAAACTCTCCCTTCGTATCGTCCGATTAGGAGTAGCAACATCGCCCCCTACTGCAAACACTTGGCAGGACCCTACAAAAACCTTTACACTCAGTGAGGCTTTCCTGGCTAAACAAGTGTCATAATACATTATGTTTATATTCTTTGGTTATTCGTTCCTACCAGCCCACCCCGCAGGGACCTGTTATAGTATGTAGTATAGTAGTAGTGTAATCTAGTATAGTATTTGTGAGTGAACCTTCATCTGCTTGACGAGGCAGTATAGTAGTAGTGTATGTAGCAATAGAGTAGTAGTGTATGTAGTAGTATAGTAGTAGTGTACAGTATGTAGTAGTATAGTAGTATGAGTGTATAGTAGTAGTACTATAGTAGTATACTATAGTAGTATAGTAAGTAGTATAGTATAGTAGTATAGTAAGTAGTAGTATTTGTGTGTGAACCTTCATCTGCTTGACGAGGCAGTAGAGCTGCTCCGGGGGTAGCGAGGCGACCGCCTGCGTCACGGCGTGCGGAGCCTCCTCAGGGGCCACGGTGTCGCCAAACGGAGACTCCAACACGGGCCCCGTGTGACCCAGACCTGTGAGACACAGTGAGACACACACAGAGACACAGAGACACACACACAGTGAGACACACAGAGACACACACACAGAGACACACACACACAGTGAGACACACACAGTGAGACACACAGAGACACACAGTGATACACACACAGTGAGACACACACAGAGACACACAGAGACACAGCGTCGCCAAACGGAGACTCCAACACGGGCCCCGTGTGACCCAGACCTGACATACACACACAGAGACACACAGTGACACACACAGTGAGACACACACAGAGAGACACACTCAGTGAGACACACACAGAGAGACACACTCAGTGAGACACACGCAGTGAGAGGGAGGGGAGGGGGGAAGGGGAGGCAGGGGAGAGAGGGAGGGGGGGAGGGGGGGAGGGGAGGGGGGAGGGAGGGGGGGAGGGAGGAAGGGGAGGGGGAGAGAAGAGAGGGCAGGGGGGGGGGAGGTAGGGGGGGAGGGAGGGGGGGAGGGAGAGGAGGCAATGAGAGAGGGAGCGGAGCGGAGGGGGGGAAGGGAGGGAGGGAGTGGAGGCAGGGGGAGGCAGGGGGAGGAGGTGAGGTGACCCACTCTTGAGCTCCTCCTTGTTCTTCTCGCTGGCGGCGTTGTCGACGCGCAGCGAGCGGCCGCTGAACTCGCGCCCGTTGAGGTTCCTCATGGCGCTCAGCGCCGTCTCCTGGTCCTGGTACTCGCAGAAGCCGTAGCCCTTGGGCTTGCCCGTCTCCCTGTCGTACACCAGCCTGCACGCGCCACGCACGCACACACGCACACGTGTACCAACACACGTGTACACACACATACACACGTGTACACACACATACACACACGTGTACCCACACACGCACACGTGTACCCACACATGTGTACACACACGTGTACACACACACGTGTACACACACACGTGTACACACACACGTGTACACACACACGTGTGTACACACACACGTGTACACACACATACACACGTGTACACACACACATACACACGTATACACACATACGTGTACCCACACATACACACGTATACACACACACACACGTGTACACACACACGTGCGTACACACACACGTGTACACACACATACACACGTGTACACACACAAGTATACACACACACGTGTACACACACGCATGTACACACACGCACACACGTGTACCCACACACACACACACGTGTGTTTGTTGTGTGTGTACATGTGTGTGTTGTGTGTGTGCCTGACCGCAGGTCTCACCTGAAGCTGACCACCGGCCCCACCTCAGAGAAGATGTCTCTGAGTTGCTCCTCCGTCGCCTCATAGGGGATGTTACCAACTGCATTCACGCGCAGACATACACACAGACACACACAGACACACACACACACACCAAGACACACACGCAGATACACACACAGACACACACACAGTCACACACACAGTCACACAGACACACAGACACACACACAGACACACACAGACACACACACAGACACACACACAGTCACACACACAGTCACACAGACACACAGACACACAGACACACACACAGTCACACAGACACACAGACAGACACACACACAGACACACACACAGACAGACACACACACACAGACACACACACAAGACACAGACACACACACACACACACAGAGACACAGACACACACACAGTCACACACACCAAGACACACACAGACACACACAGACACACACACTCACAGACACACACAGACACACACACACACAGAGACACAGAGACACACACACAGACGCACAAAGATCACCCATGTAGGCTCAGCAGACTGTAGGGGCAAGTGTTGTTAGTAGCGAGTAGCAGCAGCAGCTATGAACACACAAAGACAAAGGTCCCCCGTGTAGCCTGTAGCAGACTGGAGGGGCAAGTGCTGTTAGTAGCGAGTAGCAGCAGCAGCACCTATGAAGGCTACCGGCGCTGTGGCACACACAGAGGGGGTGGGTGGCCAGCACCACGCCCGGCCGCCTTTGTCTCCCCAGTGGCGATGTTTACACACCGCACCAGTTACTCATTCGAGGCCGAGTCGACCTAGGGGAGGCCCGGTCCGCGAGCGGGAACCGAACTGGTTCGGGTGGCCGCAGCGCTGCGCTAACCGCAGCGCCACCGCTCCCCACGCGCAGGCCCCCATCCACTACAACGGCGCTCGACTAGCGCGGTCCATCGCCTCGCCACCCTCCCAACTGGCTTCGTTACCCCCCGTGGCTTCGCCCCCCTGGGCCCCCCTCGCCCCCCTGGGCCCCCCTCGGCCCCCCTCGGCCCCCCTCGCCACGAGCCTCGTCCCGAGCCTCTCACCGAAGACGGAGCGGAGCGAGCGGTCGGTGGTGGTATCCCTCATGCCCGCCATGGCTGCTGGGGAATCGATTCCTCTGGAATCGACACGCGAGTTGAATCCGATTCGGTTGCGAGGGAATCGATTCCTAATGGGGACGTCTGAATGATCTTCTTATTGGTTAAATTTCGATTTAAAGCTTTCGTGACTGATTCATCTTCTTAGTTCTTTCGGTAAAGTCACGTAGAAGGGAAATAATAAAATAATAAAAATAAAACATAATGAAATAATAATATATTATAAAAATAAAACATAATAATATATTATTTTATTATGTTTTATTTTTATTAATATAGTAATATTTTTTTATTCGTAAAATTATAAAAATTAAACATAATAAAATAATAATGTATAATTTTATAATGTTTTATTTTTATTATTTTATTACTTCCCTTCTACGTGATGACTTTACCGAAAGAACCAAGAAGATGAATCCCTGCTGCAGTCACGAAAGAAGCTTTACATCGAAACTTGTCTGAATGAGCCCAACGTGTGAGAGCCTCATCAACTCGACGGGATTTCAATGAGACGTTGAGGAGGGAGGGAGGGAGGGAGGAATCTGAGGAGCCGTGAAGCTCTTTGTCGCACGAGTTCGAGTGTTGAAGGGGTCGTTGTCTAAAAAGAAGAGAAATCGACCATTAATTATTTATTATTTTGATTTTAAGGCAGTGGACCATTCAGTCTATTCCGGAAGATGTCTTCCGAACAAGGAAGATATCTTCTAGAAGAGGAAGACATCTTCTGGAAGAGGAAGATTTGTCCAGGAAGATGCTTCTGGAAGCGGGAGAAGTCTTCTGGAAGATGTCTTCTGGAAGGGGATGAAATCTTCTGGAAGAGGAAGTTATCTTCTGGAAGACGAAGATTTGTCCAGGAAGACGCTTCTGGAAGCTGGAGCAGTCTTCTGGAAGACGTCTTCCGACAAAGGAAGACATCTTCTGGAAGAGGAAGACATCTTCTGGAAGATGAAGATTTGTCCAGGAAGAAGCTTCTGGAAGATCGAGCAGTCTTCTGGAAGACGTCTTCCGAAAAAGGAAGATATTTTCTGGAAGAAGAAGATTTCTTCTGGAAGAGGAAGAATTGTCCAAGAAGACGCTTCTGGAAGCGGGAGCAATCTTCTAGAAGACGTCTTCCAAACAAGGAAGACGTCTTCTGGAAGAGGAAGATTTGTCCAGGAAGAGGCTTCTGGAAGCCGGAGCAGTCTTCTGGAAGACGTCTTCCGAAAAAGGAAGACATCTTCTGGAAAAGGAAGATACCTTCTGGAAGATGAAGATTTGTCCAGGAAGACGGTTCTGGAAGATGAAGTTATCTTCTGGAAGACGTCTTCTGGAAGACGAAGATATCTTCTGGAAGAAGAAGGGACTTTGAAAAAAACGCCGTCCGTGGCTTGGCATGGAGAATCGATGCCGTGCGCTGAACGTGAATGTGGCTGCCGCACAGAGACTCAGGTGAGAGACTCACCAACTACTCACCAATTACTCACCACTCACTCACCCACTCACTCACCCACTCACTCACTCACCACTCACTCATCAACTACTCACCAATTACTCACCAACTACTCACCAACTACTCACTCACCCACCCACTCACTCACCCACTCACTCACTCACCACTCACTCACCCACTCACTCACCAATTACTCACCACTCACTCACCACTCACTCACCCACTCACTCACTCACCACTCACTCACCCACCCACTCACTCACCCACTCACTCACTCACCACTCACTCACCCACTCACTCACCAATTACTCACCACTCACTCACCACTCACTCACCCACTCACTCACTCACCCACTCACTCACCCACTCACTCACTCACCCACTCACTCACCAATTACTCACCAACTACTCACTCACCCACTCACTCACCAATTACTCACCCACTCACTCACTCACCCACTCACTCACCCACTCACTCACCACTCACTCATCAACTACTCACCAATTACTCACCAACTACTCACCAACTACTCACTCACCCACCCACTCACTCACCCACTCACTCACTCACCACTCACTCACCCACTCACTCACCAATTACTCACCACTCACTCACCACTCACTCACCCACTCACTCACTCACCCACTCACTCACCCACTCACTCACTCACCCACTCACTCACCAATTACTCACCAACTACTCACTCACCCACTCACTCACCAATTACTCACCCACTCACTCACTCACCCACTCACTCACCCACTCACTCACCAATTACTCACCAACTACTCACCAACTACTCACCCACTCACTCACCAATTACTCACCAACTACTCACTCACCCACTCACTCACCCACTCACTCACCAATTACTCACCAACTACTCACCAACTACTCACTCACCCACCCACTCACTCACCCACTCACTCACCACTCACTCACCAACTACTCACCACTCACTCACCACTCACTCACTCACCACTCACTCACCACTCACTCACCACTCACTCACTCACCACTCACTCACCAATTACTCACCAATTACTCACCACTCACTCACCACTCACTCACCAACTACTCACCAATTACTCACCACTCACCACTCACTCACCAATTACTCACCAACTACTCACCAATTACTCACTCACTCACCAACTACTCACCAATTACTCACCACTCACTCACCAATTACTCACCACTCACTCACCACTCACCACCCACTCACCAATTACTCACCACTCACTCACCAATTACTCACCGCTCACTCACCACTCACTCACCAATTACTCACCACTCACTCACCAATTACTCACCGCTCACTCACCACTCACTCACCAATTACTCACCACTCACTCACCAATTACTCACCACTCACTCACCACTCACTCACCAATTACTCACCACTCACTCACCAATTACTCACCAATTACTCACCGCTCACTCACCACTCACTCACCAATTACTCACCACTCACTCACCACTCACTCACCAATTACTCACCACTCACTCACCACTCACTCACCAATTACTCACCGCTCACTCACCACTCACTCACCAATTACTCACCACTCACTCACCACTCACTCACCAATTACTCACCACTCACTCACCAATTACTCACCAATTACTCACCACTCACTCACCACTCACTCACCAATTACTCACCACTCACTCACCACTCACTCACCAATTACTCACCACTCACTCACCACTCACTCACCAATTACTCACCGCTCACTCACCACTCACTCACCAATTACTCACCACTCACTCACCAATTACTCACCAATTACTCACCGCTCACTCACCACTCACTCACCAATTACCACTCACTCACCACTCACTCACCAATTACTCACCACTCACTCACCACTCACTCACCACTCACTCACCCACCCACTCATTCACTTACCCACTCATTCACCCACCCACTCATTCACCCACCCACTCACTCATTCACCCACCCACTCATTCACCCACCCACTCATTCACCCACCCACTCATTCACCCACCCACTCATTCATCCACCCACTCATTCACCCACTCATTCATTCACCCACTCATTCATTCACCCACTCACTCACCCACCCACTCATTCACCCACCCACTAACCCACCCACTCATTCACCCACCCACTCATTCACCCACCCACTCACCCACCCACTCATTCACCCACCCACTCATTCACCCACCCACTCATTCACCCACCCACTTACTCATTCACCCACTCACCCACCCACTCATTCACTGCTACTCACTAACAGCACTTGCCCCGCCAGCCTGTCACAGGCTACACGGGGGACCTTTGTCTTTGTGTGTTCATAGCCGCTGCTGCTGCTACACGCTACTAACTGCACTTGCCCCTGCAGCCTGTCACAGGCTACACGGGGGACCTTTGTCTTTGTGTGTTCATAGGCGCTGCTGCTACTACTCGCTAACAGCACTTGCCCCACCAGCTTGTCACAGGCTACACGGGGGATCTTTGTCTTTGTGTGTTCATAGACGCTGCTACTAGCTAACAGCACTTGCCCCACCAGCCTGTCACAGGCTACACGGGGGAGCTTTGTCTTTGTGAACTCGGTGATTCTCTTCTGCCAGGGAGAGTCTGGAAGATGGCGGCCTCCTGCATCCGCGGCTGAGGCCTCGTCGCCAGGAGAGCGGCAGGCTTCTGCTGCCGCTGGCGGAGGAGGCCGAGCGATGTGATTGGCTGCCGCTGCGGCTGGCGCTGCAGGAGGCGGGGCTGGCGGCGGCGGACGAATCCGATTGGCCGGCACCGGGCGAGGGCTTGGAGGAACGAGGGGAGACGCTCGCACGCGATTGGTCAGTCGGGAGAAACGGCCGCCCTCTCCTGCACTGTCTCTCTCCCCGGACAAACCGAGTGAGAACAATAGAAACGAGTGAGAACAATAGAAACAGACACAACAATAGAAACAAGTTCGAACAATAGAAACGAGTCAGAACAATAGAAACGAGTGAGAACAATAGAAACAGACACAACAATAGAAACGAGTCAGAACAATAGAAACGAGTCAGAACAATAGAAACGAGTCAGAACAATAGAAACGAGTCAGAACAATAGAAACGAGTCAGAACAATAGAAACAAACACAACAATATAAATGAGTCAGAACAACACAAACGAGTCAGAACAATAGAAACGAGTCAGAACAATACAAACAAGAACAACAATACAAACGAGTCAGAACAATAGAAACGAGTCAGAACAATGCAAACAAGAACAACAATACAACGAGTCAGAACAATAGAAACGAGTCAGAACAATACAAACAAGAACAATACAAACATACACAACAATACAATCGGACACAACAACACAAACACAACAACACAAACGAGTCACAACAACACAAACACAACAACACCAACAGACACAACAACACAAATCGTTGGTGCCTCCCCCCCCCAGGTGGTTGAGCTCCGTCTCGGCGCCGTCTCTCCGGGGCCCCCGGCGCCGACGAGGCCGCCCGGCTTCCTCGCGGCTCCTCCACGCCCTGCGCGCACTAGCGGCCCGCAAGCTCCGCGAGAAGGACGCGGAGCTCCGTGTGGGGGACGTGGAGCTCCGTGGGGGAGACGAGCTCCGTGGAAATGACGTGGAGCTCTGTGGGAAGGACGTGGAGCTCCGTGTGGGGGACGTGGAGCTCCGTGGGGGAGACGAGCTCCGTGGGGGCAACGTGGAGCTCCGTGGGAAGGACGTGGAGCTCCGTGTGGGGGACGTGGAGCTCTGTGGGAAGGACGTGGAGCTCCGTGTGGGGGACGTGGAGCTCTGGGCTCGCGAGGTGCCGAGCCGCTACGAGCGACACGGAGACCTCGTGGTGCTGCCCAGCGGCGCATTCCGCTCGCACTACTGGAGGCAGCTGGGTGGGTGTTGTTCTCTCGTTTCTATTGTTCTCTCGTTTGTATTGTTATCTCGCTTCTATTGTTATCTCGTTTCTATTGTTCTCTTGTTTCTATTGTTATCTTGTTTCTATTGTTCTCTTGTTTCTATTGTTCTCTCGTTTGTATTGTTATCTCGCTTCTATTGTTCTCGTTTGTATTGTTCTCTTGTTTCTATTGTTCTCTTGTTTCTATTGTTCTCATTTGTATTGTTCTCTCTCGTTTCTATTGTTTCTATTGTTATCTCGTTTCTATTGTTCTCGTTTGTATTGTTCTGAATCGTTTGTATTGCTCTCTCTAGTTTGTATTGTTCTGACTCGTTTCTATTGTTCTCTCTCGGTTGTATTGTTCTGACTCGTTTCTATTGTTCTCACTCGTTTGTATTGTTCTGACTCGTTTCTATTGTTCTCACTCGTTTCTATTGTTCTGACTCGTTTCTATTGTTCTCTCTCGTTTGTATTGTCAGATGGTGCTGATGCTGTTAATGATGATGGTGATCTTGATGATGATGTTTAGGATGTTTAAGATGATGATAATGTTGATAGCCATATTGATTATGATGTTAATAGTGATGTCGTTGTTGTAAATGTTAAAGATGTTGATGTCGTTGATAACGATGATGATGTTGTTGATGTTGTTGATGATGTTGTTGTTGTCAATGTTGTCGTTGATGTTGTTGATGTTGTTGTCAATGTTGTTGATGTTGTTGATGTTGTTGATTTTGTTGTTGATGTTGTTGATGTTGTTGTCAATGTTGTTGTTGATGATGTTGTTGATGTTGTTCATGATGTTGTTGTCAATGTTGTTGATGTTGTCAATGTTGTTGTCAATGTTGTCAATGTTGTTGTTGATGATGTTGTTGATGATGTTTTTGATGATGATGATGTTGTCAATGTTGTTGATGTTGTTGATGTTGTTGTCAATGTTGTTCTTGATGTTGATGATGATGTTGTTGATGATGTTGTTGATGATGATGTTGTTGATGTTGTTGATGATGTTGTTGTTGTCAATGTTGTTCTTGATGTTGTTGATGATGTTGTTGTCAATGTTGTTCTTGATGTTGATGATGATGTTGTTGATGTTGTTGTTGTTGATGATGTTGTTGATGTTGTTGTCAATGTTGTCAATGTTGTTGTTGATGTTGTTGATGTTGTTAATGTTGTTCTTGTTGTTGACGATGTTGTTGTTGTCAATGTTGTTGATGTTGTTGTCGATGTTGTTGATGTTGTTGTCGTCAGAGCCGGAGCTGTGGGCGGTGGTAGCGAGGGTGCTGGGAGCGAGCCGCGTGGCGCGCTGCCACCGCGTGGCCCCCGACGACTTCCGCAGCCCCCGCACCCAGCTGCTGCTGGGGGGGCACGGTCACGTGGTGCACCGTGACAACAGCATCACGTGGGTGGGGGAAGGGGGGGGGGCAGGGTCACGTGGTGCACCGTGACAACAGCATCACGTGGGTGGGGGAAGGGGGGGGGGCAGGGTCACGTGGTGCACCGTGACAACCACGTCACGTGGGTGGGGGGGGGGGGGCAGGGTCACGTGGTGCACCGTGACAACCACGTCACGTGGGTGGGGGGGGTCACGTGGTGCACCGTGACAACAGCATCACGTGGGTGGGGGGAGTGGGGGGGCGTGGGGAGAGCGGGGGAGAGTGATGGTGTTGATGATGATGGTGATGATGGTGTTGATGGTGTTGATGATGTTGTTGATGGTGATGGTGGTGTTGATGGTGTTGATGGTGTTGGTGGTGATGGTGGTGTTGACGGTGATGATGATGTTGTTGATGGTGATGGTGGTGTTGATGGTGTTGATGATGTTGTTGGTGGTGATGGTGTTGATGGTGTTGATGGTGGTGACAGTGTTGACGGTGATGGTGTTGGTGGTGATGGTGGTGTTGGTGGTGTTGATAGTGTTGATGGTGTTGGTGGTGATGGTGGTGATGATGGTGGTGATGGTGTTGATGGTGATGGTGGTGTTGGTGGTGATGGTGTTGATGGTGATGGTGTTGATGGTGGTGTTGATGGTGTTGATGGTGTTGGTGGTGATGGTGGTGATGGTGTTGATGGTGTTGATGGTGGTGACAGTGTTGACGGTGATGGTGTTGGTGGTGATGGTGGTGTTGGTGGTGTTGATAGTGTTGGTGGTGATGGTGGTGATGATGGTGGTGATGGTGTTGGTGGTGACGGTGGTGGTGTTGGTGGTGATGGTGTTGGTGTTGGTGGTGATGATGGTGGTGATGGTGGTGTTGATGGTGTTGATGGTGTTGGTGGTGATGGTGGTGATGGTGGTGATGGTGTTGATGGTGTTGATGGTGGTGACGGTGTTGACGGTGATGGTGTTGGTGTTGGTGTTGATGGCGATGTCTCGGCAGGTACGAGTTTGACGTGACGCTCTGCATGTTCTCGAAGGGCAACGTGTCTGAGAAGCTTCACCTCGCCTCGCTCGACTGCCGGGGAGAGACGATCGTAGACCTGTACGCAGGTACACACACACATACACACACACATATATATACATATATACACATACATACACACACACATATACACACACATATATATACATATATATACACATACATACATACACACACACATATATATACATATATATACACATACATACACACATACATACACACACACATACACATACATATACACACCACACACATACACACACACACGCACACACACGCACACACACACTCACACACACACCACGCACACACAAACATACATACACACACACACGCACACACACATATGCACACACACACGCACACACACACACAAACATACACACACACGCACACACACATATGCACACGCACACACACGCACACACTCACACACGTGGTGACGTCGGTGACGACGACGGCGGTGGTGCAGGCATCGGCTACCTGACGCTGCCGCTGCTGGTGCACGCCGGGGCGGCGCTGGCCGTGGCGTGCGAGTGGAGCCCCCACGCGGCGGCGGCGCTGCGCCACAACCTCGGCCGCAACGGCGTCGCCAGGCGCTGCACCGTGCACGCGGCGGACAACCAGACGGTACACGCACACACGCATGTACATGTATACACACGCACACGCACACACACACGCACACACACATGTACACACACATGTACACACGCACGCACACACATGTACACACACACACAAGCATGTACATGTATACACACACACACGTACACACGCACACACACACACACGTACACACGCACACACACACACACGCACTCACACGTACACACACGTACACACACGTACACACACACGCGCGCACACACGCGCGCACACACGCACACACGCACGCACACACGTACACGCACATGTACACGCGCACACGTACACACACACACGTACACACGCACACACACGTACACACACACACACGCACACATGTACACACACGCACACGTACACGCACACGTACACACACACACACACGCGCACACACACGTACACACGTACACACGCACACGTACACACACGTACATACACGCACACAAGTACACGCACACACACAGACACACACGTACACACACACACACACACGCACGTACACACGCACACACGCACTCACACGTACACACACGTACACACACGTACACACACATACACGCACACACGTGCACACACGTACACACGCACGCACACACGTACACGCACATGTACACGCGCACACACGCGTACACGCACACACGTACACAACAACAACAACAACAACAACCGCCATTCGCCACTAAGTGGCGGTGACGTCACCACGATGCTTGTGCCAGGCCAAGTGCACCTTGAGGCCACGTGAAGTGTCGAAAGCCCGCTGGCAGGAGGTCACGGGGCAGACCCAGGTGCCACGGGTCGACTGACCGAGATGACCGAGATGACTGGCTGATGCACCACCTGTGCCCCCTACTGTGCCAACTTGCTGTGCTTTAGCCACCCGGCGCTCCGCTCGTTGTTGTGAGCGTCGCTCCTCCGCCCTCCGTTGTTGTTGGAGGGCGACTGCCTCCAACTGCCCAGTAGCGTCCTTCACGAGCCTCCTCCACTGAGGCCGATCTTGACACCGCTGGTACCAGTCATCGGCAAGTCCACTCAGCTCCACGTCCTCCTGTACCACATCACTCCATCTCTTCTCCAGCCCGTGCCGCGCCCGTCTAGCCCCCTCGATCCGGCCGAACAAAAGCTGTTTAGGCATGCGGTGGCTGGGCATGCGGGCTACATGACCCAGCCAACGCAGCCTTGCCTGCCGGAGGAGCTCACTGATGGGACTTTGCCCAGATCTTTCAAGGATTTGTGAGCTCCTCACACAATCCAGCCTGGTTAAACCCAGGATGGATCGTAGGCAGGCCAGCCTAAATGTTTCCAACCGGCGAAGATGCTCCACCAGGGGGGTCCACGTCTCGCAAGCGTAGAGAAGGGAGGGAATGACCGTGGCCGAGAAGACCTGAAGCTTCGTGCGGAGCGACAGACCAGGTAGCTTCCACACAGCGTTACGCAACCGATGAAAAGATATTGCCGCTCGACTGATTCGGAGTGAGACCTCTGCTGATAGACTGGAGCCGGTCATAAGCACTACTGCCCAGGTATGGGAAACTCTCCACTCTCTCCACAACTGCCCCATCACCAATTGGGAGTTGTGGGGGTGGAGTGTCCGATGGTACAAAATACCCAGGCAGGTGCTTGGTTTTGGTGGGGCTGATGGTAAGGCCCCACCTCTTAGTGGCACGCTCCAGTCTCAGCAGCAGCGCCTCCAACTCCTCTTCTGAATGAGCAGCTATTACCAAATCATCGGCATACATAACGTGGTTGACCAATAGGGAGCCATCCCTTGATCGCACCCGGGCGTCGATCAGCCTCCCATTATATCTGTACCAAATGGAAATTCCTCCGGTACAGCTATTGAAGGCTTCACGAACTACGCGGTCAAAATAGATGTTAAATAATGTGGGAGCCAGAGGACATCCCTGTCGCACCCCAAGGTGTACAGGGAAAGGCTCCGACTCCCGGCCACGTAGTTTTACCCGGGCCCGCTCACCATCATGAAGGTCCTTAATGATCGTGAGCAGAGGGTCAGGGACTCCGAAAGCACGAAGAACAACCCAGAGCCCAGTCCTACTGATGGTATCATAGGCCTTGACCAGGTCAATAAAGCAGAGATGTAGGTCTTTTTGGAATTCCCTACACCTCTGCTGTAGCAGACGGACAGAAAATATGGCATCTGTGCAGGACCGCCCTTTCCTGAAACCGCATTGGGGCTCCGCAAGCCTCTCCTCAGCGTGCCTAGCAAGGCGATGTTGAATAATCCTTGCCAGGACCTTACCCGGCACACTGAGGAGTGAGATGCCCCTGTAGTTGTTACAGTCTGTACGGTCCCCCTTCTTAAAGAGGGGGACCACCAGGGCATCCTTCCAGTCCTGCGGAACCCGTCCAGTGGTCCAGACTGTTGTTATGATGTCATATAGGGCAGTCTGTGCACAAACGCCACCCTCCCTCAGCATTTCGCTTGGGAGATCATCTCTGCCCGGTGCCTTCCCTGGTCTCAGACTCCGGATCGCCCTCAGTACTTCCTCAACAGCTGGAACCTCAGCCAGCCACTCACAGGGGGTGACCTCTTCCAATATTTGAGGCACCGCAGCCTCAGCAGGGTTATCCCCACTTTGTGCCATGATGTTTTCCTGGCTGAGAGAATTTCCCTCCCCCAGGACCTCACAGAAATGCTCAGCAAATCTGCAAACCTGTTCCTGGGGGTCGGAGATTGGATCACCGTTTTTTCCTCTAATGATGGTAATAGGTGTGGCGCTGCAGGTTACTTTTTTGATGGAGTTAAATAGTGATTTGTGATCACGGGCCACTGAGGCAGACTCCATCTCCTCAGCAACCCGCGACCACCACCCATCCTTACAACGCCTTACGGCTCTCCGAACTTCCGAGCGAAGGCTGCGGTAAACCTCCTCATTCTCTGACGTGGGATGCTGTAGGCGATGAGAGTGGGCCTGTCGCTTTTTCTCAATTAACCTGAACACCTCCTCTGTCAGCCAGGGTTTCTGGGGAGGTCTGGACCGCGTACCCAAAGCAGCCATTGCAGCTGCATGAGTCACAGTCCTAAACCTCGCCCATTTACCCTCGACATCAGGTGGAGTGGGGGACGATGCCAACCCCAGCTGCAAGCGATGATGAAATTCTCGCTTGCAACTTTCATCAGCTAACTGAGACCAGGCCACTTTTGGTTGGAATGGGATCCTGGGTGTACACCCACCACCGGAGTGGAAGAAAGGCAGGCGCATCTTACAGATGACTAGTCGATGGTCAGAGGACAGATCAGCTCCACGGTAGGTCCTGGTGTCAAGGACATGGGTTCGCATCCGCTGGTCCGTCACTATGTAGTCCAGCAGATGTTCTTGCTTGGACCCGGCATGTATCCATGATGTTGTGTGGATGCGCCGATGCCGGAAGAGCGTGTTGGTAATTACAAGCCCATGGGCTGCACAAAAATCTAGCAGCCTCCTACCGTTATTATTGAGCTGATCTGGCCCATGCCTTCCAATCACTCCAGACCAGGTGTCAGCATCATGACCAACTCGGGCATTGAAGTCACCCAACAAGATGACTCTGTCCCGAGTGGCCACTTTAGCCAGCACCTGTGACAGGAGGTCATAGAAAGCGTCTGACTCATCGGCTTTGCTTGCATCCCTCCACGGATGTTCGTCTTCGGTGGGGGCATAAGTAACCACGACCACCACTCCTCGCCTCTGGTTGATGGGAAGGCGAGCCCAAAGTATCCTGGGGCTTACAGCTTCCCACACCTCACCGCCACGCTCCCACGCCCCCTTCATTCTTTTGTTCAGAAGAAGAGCCACACCCTGTTGTTTGGCAGTCTCCTGCCCCGAGTAGAGGACTGTCCACCCCTCATGGTGGCAGGAGCCAGAACCGGTCCACCGGACCTCCTGAATGCCACAGAGATCCAGGCGGTACCGGTCCAGCTCCCGACAGAGGAGTGGCAGCCTCTCCTCCGCAGTGAGCGTTCGAACATTCCACGTGGCCATCCGCAATGGTTTTTTGTTGTTTCTGGAGGAGCCCCGAGGGTGAAAATTCAATCTCCTGGCTCCGCCAAATGGGGTTTGGCCAGGAGACGTCATAAAAGCCTGACCCCCCGGGGCCTCCGGCACAAGCTTATTTGTTACAGGTTTATGTTTAATTCGTGGTTTAGTGGTAATGAATTGAAGGTGGAGGGGTTACCAGCCCCTCACACCCGTCCAGAGCCCCCGTTTAGCCACTGTGGTGGTCACAGACGCCATGAGGGGAGAGGCCAATGGGCATTGGCCCTCCCCCCACAGCACTGCCCACGACAGTGTTGCCCGTCCGACACCGCGAGGAGGTAGGAGGTTGTTTTGCCGGACACACGTACACACACGTACACACACACACGTACACACACGCACACACACCACACACACGTACACACGTACACACGCACACACACACACACACGTACACACGTACACACACACACGTACACACACACATACACACACGTACACACACGTACGCACGCACGTACACACACACTCACACGTACACACACGAACACGTACACACACACGTACACACACACGTACACACACACACGCACACACACACACGTACACACGTACACACGTACACACACACGTACACACGCACACGTACACAAACGTACATACACGCACACAAGTACACATGTACACATGCACACACGCGGATACACACGCACACGCGCGGACACACTCACACACACGGACACACACGCACACACACGTACATCCATTTCGACTGCGTAGTTCGTGAAGCCTTCAATAGCTGTACCGGAGGAATTTCCATTTGGTACAGATATAATGGGAGGCTGCTCATTCAGAAGAGGAGTTGGAAACGCTGCTGCTGAGACTGGAGCGTGCCACTAAGAGGTGGGGCCTTACCATCAGCCCCACCAAAACTAAGCACCTGCCTGGGTATTTTGTACCATCGGACACTCCACCCCCACAACTCCCAATCGGTGATGGGGCAGTTGTGGAGAGAGTGGAGAGTTTCCCATACCTGGGCAGTGTGCTTATGACCGGCTCCAGTTTATCAGCAGAGGTCTCACTCCGAATCAGTCGAGCGGCAATATCTTTTCATCGGTTACGTAACGCTGCAGTGTGGAAGCTACCTGGTCTGTCGCTCCGCACGAAGCTTCAGGTCTTCTCGGCCACGGTCATTCCCTGTCTGTGTGTGTGTGTCTATATGTGTATGTATATATGTGTACGTGTGTGTGTATGTATATATGTGTGTGTGTATGTGTGTGCATGTGTGTGTATATATGTATGTGTGTATGCGTGTATGTATGCGTGTGTGTGTATGTGTGTGTCTGCGTGTGTGTATGTATATATGGGGGAGCGGTAGTGTAGCGGTTAGCGCGCTGCGCTATGAACCTGGCGACCCGGGTTCGATTCCCGCTCACGGCCAACACCAGTGGCGATTATCTGAACCGGTCCTGGGCCTCCCCTAGGTCGACTCAGCCTTAAATGAGTACCTGGTGCGGTGTGTAAACATCGCCACTAGGGAGACAAAGGCGGTCGGGCGTGGTGCTGGCCACCCACCCCCTCGTGTACCGTGCCGGCCTTCATAGGTGCTCGCTAACAGCACTTGCCCCTACAGTCTGTTAAGGCTAAACGGGTGATCATTGTCATTGTATGTATATATGTGTGTATATATATGTGTATATGTGTGTATAAATGTGTGTGTGTATGTGTGTGTGTATACGTGTGTGTGCGTGTAGCTTCGCGAGCGAGGCTTTGCGGACCGCGTGCTCCTGGGGCTGCTGCCGTCGTCCCGACCCGCCTGGGCTCTGGCTTGTGCGCTCCTGCGGCCGGACCGCGGCGGGATCCTGCACATCCATCACAACGTCGCCTCCTCCACGCCCACAGAGCCCCGCAGCCCCACTGACGTGACGTCACTTCCTGCCGGCCACGACACTAAAGTGACGTCACTTCCTGCCGAACACAGCGGCACAGAAGTGACATCACTTACTGCCGACCACGACACTAAAGTGACATCACTTCCTGCCGGCCACGACACTAAAGTGACATCACTTCCTGCCGACCACGACACTAAAGTGACATCACTTCCTGCCGACCACGACACTAAAGTGACATCACTTCCTGCCGACCACAGCCACACTAAAGTGACATCACTTCCTGCCGACAACAGCATTGAAGTGACATCACTTCCTGCCGACCACAGCATTGAAGTGACATCACTTCCTGCCGAACACGACACTAAAGTGACATCACTTCCTGCCGACCACAGCGGCACTGAAGTGACATCACTTCCTGCCGAACACAACACTAAAGTGACATCACTTCCTGCCGACAGCAGCACAGACGCGACATCACTTCCGTGCGAGTGCGGTACCGGCGCCGAGGAAGAGGAGGGGGGGCGTGCCGCTTGCGCCTGTGCCAGCGCCCGCCCCGCCTGGCGCGCCTTCGCCCGCGACGCCGTCCGCGAGGTGCGGCACCTGCTGCTCGCCGCCACGCGGGCCCCGGGGGGGCAGGGGGGGGGCAGGGGGGGGGCGGGGGGCTGGTGCGTGCGCACGGTGCGAGTGGCGCGCGTCAAGAAGTACGCGCCGCGCGTCGACCATGTGGTCGTCGACTTGCATTGCAGGCCGCTCACGTGAACCTCCGGGCTCAACACGTGACCCTCCCCGGCCCCCCACGTGACCCCCCCGGGCCCCCCACGTGACCCCCCCGGCCCCCCAACTGAACCCCCACCCGTCCCCCCACGTGACCCCCCCTTTGAGGCTCTTCGTACGTCCATCTCTTGATCGGTCGGTCAGGGTGGTAGTTTAGAGATGATGGTGGTGGTGGTAGTTTAGTGATGGTGGTGGTGGTAGTTTAGCGATAATAGTGGTAGTTTAGCGATGGTGGGTGGTGCTGGTGGTGGTAGTTTAGCGATGGTGGTGGTGGTTTAGTGGTGGTGGTGGTGGTTTAGCGATGGTGGTGGTAGTTTAGCGATGGTGGTGGTAGTTTAGCGATGGTGGTAGTGGTAGTTTAACGATGGTGTAGTGGTGGTGGTGGTGTAGTGGTGGTGGTGGTGTAGTGGTGGTGGTGGTGGTAGTGGTGGTGTAGTGGTGGTGTAGTGGTGGTGTAGTGGTGGTGTAGTGGTGGTGGTGGTGTAGTGGTGGTGTAGTGGTGGTGTAGTGGTGGTGGTGGTGGTGTAGTGGTGTAGTGGTGGTGTAGTGGTGGTGTAGTGGTGGTGTAGTGGTGGTGGTGCTGGTGGTTTAGCGATGAAGAAGCTGATCTAGGCCCGGCCTGCCCATCAGCTGCCAACTGCCCCCCCCCCCCCCGATGGCGTCGCTGCTGCTGTTGTTGTGGGCAAACCACTGGCAATGCGATGAGAGAGAAGTGAAAATAAAAGTTGTTCTCACCCCCGGTGTGCACGCTCCGTTGCTTATTCTACCACACAGACCACATACACACCACACACATACATACACCACACCACACACACACCACACACACACCACACACACCACCCCACACACACCACACACCACACACACACCACACACCCCACACACACCACCCCACACACACCACCCCACACACACACACCACACACCCCACCCCACACACACCACCCCACCCCACACACCACACACACACCACACACCCCACCCCACACACACCACCCCACACACACCACCCCACACGCACACACCACACACACCACCCCACACACACACACCACACACACCACCCCACACACACCACCCCACACACACACCCCACACACACCACCCCACACACACACACCACACACACCACCCCACACACACACCCCACACACACCACCACACACACACCACACACACACACCCCACACACACCACCCCACACACACCACCCCACACACACACACCACACACACCACCCCACACACACCACCCCACACACACACACCACACACACCACCCCACACACACACCCCACACACACCACCCCACACACCACACACACCACCCCACACACACCACCCCACACACACCACACACACCACCCCACACACACCACTCCACACACACCACACACACCATCACACACCACTCCACACACACCACCCCACACACACCACACACAACAACCGCCATTCGCCACTAAGTGGCGGTGACGTCACCACGACGCTTGTGCCAGGCCAAGTGCACCTTGAGGCTGCCACGTGAAGTGTCGAACGCCCGCTGGCAGGAGGTCACGGGGCAGACCCAGCAGGTGCCACGGGTCGACTGACTGAGATGACCGAGATGACTGGCTGATGCACCACCTGTGCCCCCTACTGTGCCAACTTGCTGTGCTTTAGCCACCCGGCGCTCCGCTCGTTGTTGTGAGCGTCGCTCCTCCGCCAGAGTAAACCCACCACAACATTCACAATCTGAGTAGAATCACTAACTTACCAGTACAGCACTAACCGCCTGTGTGTTGGCACAATAAACCCATCACAACATTCACAATCTGAGTACAATCACAATCACTAAGTTACCAGTACAGCACTAACCGCATATGTGTTGGCACAATAAACCCATCACAACATTCACAATCTGTGTACAATCACAATCACTAACTTACCAGTACAGCACTAACCGCCTGTGTGTTGGCAGAATAAACCCACCACAACATTCACAATCTGAGTACAATCACAATCACTAAGTTACCAGTACAGCACTAACCGCCTGTGTGTTGGCACAATAAACCCACCACAACATTCACAATCCTGTGTTTCCAGAATAAACCCACCACAACATTCACAATCCTGTGTGTTTCCAGAGTAAACCCACCACAACATTCACAATCCTGTGTGTTGCAGAGTAAACCCACCACAACATTCGCCAGTAATTACAACGGGAACAATCAGGCGACAGCCACATTTGTGGAGGAATTCCACCAATTTAATACCTTGAACAGAGGCGCCGGTGCCATGTGACAATGCTCGCTGGGGCAGGGAGGAGGGAATCAACGTCTCGCCGTTCGTGACGCGTGCTCATCGCTCGAGCCCACGGCCCTCACATTTTGATGTAACTGCAGCAGGGATTCATCTTCTTGGTTCTTTCGGTAAAGTCGTCATGTAGAATGGAAATAACAAAAATAATAAAAATAAAACTTAATAAAAAAATTCTCTTTTTTTTCTTCTAGATTTGAAGCTTTCGTGACTGCAAGGATTCATCTTCTTGGTTCTTTCGGTAAAGTCGTCATGTAGAATGGAAATAACAAAAATAATAAAAATAAAACTTAATAAAAAAATTCTCTTTTTTTTCTTCTAGATTTGAAGCTTTCGTGACTGCAAGGATTCATCTTCTTGGTTCTTTCGGTAAAGTCGTCATGTAGAATGGAAATAACAAAAATAATAAAAATAAAACTTAATAAAAAAATTCTCTTTTTTTTCTTCTAGATTTGAAGCTTTCGTGACTGCAAGGATTCATCTTCTTGGTTCTTTCGGTAAAGTCGTCATGTAGAATGGAAATAACAAAAATAATAAAAATAAAACTTAATAAAAAAATTCTCTTTTTTTTCTTCTAGATTTGAAGCTTTCGTGACTGCAAGGATTCATCTTCTTGGTTCTTTCGGTAAAGTCACCGTGTAGGTAAAAAAATGAAATTAAAATTAATAAAAATAAAACTGTGAAAATCACGACGTCTTGTGTTGCCTCCGAAACGTCGTGATTTTCATTGTTTTGTTTTTATTTATTTTATTTCATTTTTTACCAACGTGGTGACTTTACCGAAAGAACTAAGAGTAAAAATAATTCTCACCTGAGAATTATTTCATTATGTTTTATTTTTATTAATAAAATAATAAAACACAATAAAATACAATTCTCACGTTTCAGACGCCGTCTTTCCGACAGACCTGTTCTTTTATTATGTTTTATTATTTTATTGTTTTATTTTTGTTCTATTATGTTTAAATGTAATTATTTAATTGTTTTATTTTTATTATTTTATAAATTTTTATTTTTTATTATTTTATTGGTTTCTTTTTATTATTTAGTTTTATTTCTATTATTTTTTTGTTTTATTTTTATTATTTTATTATGTTTTAGTTTTATCATTTTATTGTTTCATTTTTTATTAAGTTTAATTTTCATTATTTTATTGTTTTATTTGTATTATTTTATTGTTTTAATTCTATCATTCTATCACATTTTATTTTTATCATTTTATTATCTTCCTTCCACGTGACGACTTTACCCAAAGAACCAAGAAAGACCCGTGGCCCTTGTACTGCCCGTCGTTCGCACGATTTCAAGATACCCGCAGCAGCAGCAGCAGCGGGGCGATCCCCGGCCCGTGCGAGTGGAGGAGGAAAACGATCGCTCCTACAAACCTCGGGGCGGTGACACGCCGGCTCACTGCGACCATATCGGAGCGGTGCAGAACCGGCCCTAGACCTTTGGGGGCCCTAAAACAAAATTTGGTTGGAGGCCCCTTTGATGTAGGATTGTTTTGCACCCACTAGCCAGCAGTGACTCTAGGGGGGCCTCTGCTGGCCACGGGGCCTTTTGCAATTGCAAGGGTCGTTTAGTGGCTGGGCCGGCTCTGCTCACCACTCACCATCACTCACCACTCACCCTCACCACTCACCCTCATCACTCACCCTCATCACTCACCCTCACCACTCACCCTCACCACTCACCCTCACCACTCACTCACCCTCACTACTCACCCTCACCACCAGAACCGGCCCTAGACCTTTGGGGGCCCGAAACAAAATTTGGTTGGAGGCCCCTTTGATGTAGGATTGTTTTGCACCCACTAGCCAGCAGTGACTCTAGGGGGGCCTCTGCAGGCCACGGGGCTCTTTGCAATTGCAAGGGTCACTTAGTGGCTGGGCCGGCTGTGGATCGGTGGACGTAACGGCGGCGGTGACGACGCACGGAAAGCATCGTCGACGAGGAAAACGCTGCCGACGAACGGAGACTTAAATAAATAAATAACTAGTGCACGCGGGGAGTGGTACAGGCGCAGCGAAAGAGGGTTACGAAGTGGTGGTGGTGTGTGTGTCTGTGCGTGTGTGTGTGTAAGTATCTGTGTGTGTGTCTGTGTGTGTCTGTGTGTATAGGTGTGTGTGTGTGTCTGTGTCTAGGTGTGTCTGTGTGTGTCTGTGTGTGTGTCTGTGTGTGTGTCTGTGTGTGTGTCTGTGTGTGTGTCTGTGTGTGTGTGTCTGTGTGTGTGTGTCTGTGTGTGTGTCTGTGTGTGTGTGTGTCTGTGTGTGTGTGTGTGTCTGTGTGTGTGTCTGTGTGTGTGTCTGTGTGTGTCTGTGTGTGTGTGTCTGTGTGTGTGTGTCTGTGTGTGTGTGTCTGTGTGTGTCTGTGTGTGTGTGTCTGTGTGTGTGTCTGTGTGTGTGTCTGTGTGTGTCTGTGTGTGTGTGTCTGTGTGTGTGTGCGTGTGTGCGTCTGTGTGTGTCTGTGTGTGTGTCTGTGTGTGTGTCTGTGTGTGTGTCTGTGTGTGTGTCTGTGTGTGTGTCTGTGTGTGTGTCTGTGTGTGTGTCTGTGCGTGTGTGCGTTGAACTTCTTTCACGCCGTACGTAGCCAACCGCGGTAAGGACAACAAACTAAACACGACGACAACAACAACAACAAGCAGCAGCAGCAGCAGCAGCGGTGGTGGTGAAGCTGTTTGTGCTGTCGGGGTGAGCGAGTGGCGTGGTGGGGCTTGAGCGTCGGCAGCGGTGTCGGTGGTGGCGGTGGTGGTGGAGGTGGTGGCGGTGGTGGTGGAGGTGGTGTCGGTGGTGGCGGTGGTGGTGGAGGTGGTGGTGGAGGTGGTGGCGGTGGAGGTGGTGTCGGTGGTGGCGGTGGTGGCGGTGGTGGCGGCGGTGGTGGTGGCGGTGGTGGTGAAGCGGTGGTGGTGGTGATAGGCACGGGCATCTACCTAACCGCGTGGTTGTGCCGTGTGTTTGTGCCACGTGGTTGTGCCGTGTGGTTGTGCGCGTGGTGGCGCCGCGCGCTCAGAGCAAGGCGTCGAACAGGGGCAAGTGTGCGCTGTCGGGGTTGAGCAGGTCGAGCAAGAAGCAGGCGG